GACTTCGCTTCGAAGTTTTCAGGAACGCCATTCTCGGCACGCTCGCTACGTGTAGCGCTTCTCACGCATCGATAAGTCCCAGGATCGAGGCGCCGGTGGATGCTGTCACCTGGGCCAATCGTCGAACTACGGTCGTTGGTTTTCCAGCGGGTGCGATTAAGCGTCAAAGCTCGAAAATCTAACAAGCGAAAAAGCCGGACACCAGGCTCGAACGTCCTCGCCGCACAGTCGGAATCGCGAACCCGCGAAGTCCGCTCACAGAGCTCACAGGGCTATTCAAGTAGTTGAAGCAGTGTCTCAGCGCTGGTCGTTGCATCGTTTAACGTCGATTCGAACGTCGTCGCGCCGTCGATGATCGTTCGAGTTAACGAGGAATGAAATTCAGCTCTCTCAGCGGCTCCGGCGGCTCTCGGCCCTCGAAGCCCCCATCTTCGAGGGCTCCTCGAGCTCTTTCGCGTCGTGATTATTAATTATTTCCCGGTTGGAAAGCACAGGCTCGGTTTTGCAGATCGATACACGCGCGCGTGTGATCTTCTCAGAGGGGAGAGATACTGGCTCGGATAACGAAATGCGTCACTCGCTCGTATTACCGGCGTGTATTCATTAACCAACTACCACGTGTGACTAATGACTGTGCGAGCGTCGAGTGTTTCTCCTAATGATTGGAATCAAGCCGCGGATTAATGAAGTGGACCAACGGCGCGTGAATGGATCCGCTGTTAATCGATCGCGACGATAAACCGGCGCTCACATGCGCGAATTTCATGTACGCGTCGCGCGCGCGCCGATGATGAAAGCGCGGGACACGGCCGACGTTGCGCCCTCTTTTCTCTTTTCGTATCTTTTTTTTTTTGTTCTGCGATAACTATGCGATCGATAAACGGAATTCCACGGACCGCTATAGTTTCTCGTGGATTTTTTTTTTTACACTCGCGAGAGTTCGAAGGTGGTCGATGTAACCCGCCGTTGAACAATACCGAAATTGTTCCGCTCCTCGAACTCGGCGAAATATAAACCGCTTCGCTTATTAATGGAGAGGGGGAGCCGCACTTGCGGACGTGAAAATGCCGATGACTTCACATTTTGTTCGGGGCGATGTGCGCGCGTCTCTTCATTCGGGTGTTTCTTTCAACGTTCGCGTATTTTCATTTTTGCAATTAAGGATGCATTGCCCACTAGTGTCGCATTTTTAGTGGCATATCGAGGAAGTTACTCATAAATTTAGATTTATCGAGCAAAATTATTTTTCTATATATTTATTTGTTACCTATATAAATAATAAATGTTAACTGGAAACGAAATTAAAGTGGACACACACACACACACACAATATTACAAATATGAAGATATTGTTAATTTTATTTTATTATTAATGCTATATTTGTATGCATCAGTTGATCTAATAGAAGTGTACAGATAATATAAGAAAGTGTATAAATGTTTAAATATGTGTATATGTGCATGCATTTCAAATATCACTGTGAGTTATTAACTTTACACCGCTTTATTTTCCAAATAAAATGGTCAATAATTCTGAATTTTTTGTGTATAATGTCCGCATATTATAATTTTTAACACTATAGTAGTTTTTCATTAAAATCTCATTTTTAGTTTAGAAGATATTAAAAATGCGAATTAAAATTAGCACACTAATCTCGAAGAATACGTTTAAAAAATGTCAGCTTTAGTTGTAAAGGTCCGAAATTTTTGAATATCTTTTTCTAATTACACGAATAATGAGTTAGGTAATATTTCAATGTATGTACAATGCAAGTTTCATCGAATTCTTATTAAACTTATTTCACTTTACAACCTCTTTTAAGGTGGAATCGTTTTTTATTCAGGCTCTGAATTATTATGAAACTTTCGGTACCATTTTTAAATACAGTTTATAATTTTTTCATAATTTTTCTCATTATTTTGACTCATGGGCAATACATCTCTAACATGAATTTTGTTCGTGCGGAATAAATTCTCCGGCGAAAATGATCTCGTAAGACAGCTCGTTTCGCGACACCCAATTTTCGACGATAATTTATTACTACGTAACTAAGGAAGAATTATCGACTCGTAAGAATTATGACTATTGCCACAGCGGTTTTAATATGGCACGTTTTAACTGTAGTAATTGAAGACGTGTAAAATATTTAAATTGACATAGTTACACGCACAATGGAACATCTCTACCAGTATCCTCGTTTATCTCTAACATAGTGAACAACAATTTTTCATTCTTGTATATTAAAATAAAATAAAATAGAAATAAACGGGGATATAACGATATAAAACATATTTCCCATCGAATATATACCCGCGATATTTTCCACAATTTTCGAATTTTATTATGACAGGTTACACGATATAAATTAATAATAAAAAAGAAACTTGATCCGTCTTACGGAATGAACAAATAACCGCGCTATTTTCCGCCTGAATTTCTCTCTGAAATGTTCTTATTTATGGAGCGATGCCGACCTGCGAACCTGGTTGAAGTAGAATTCTGCGCTCGTTCACGGCGAACTTCGTATGCTCAATAATGCGCGAGAGTGCGCGGAGCAGGAAGAAAAAATGGAAACAAAGAAGAAAACGCTCGCGATGATCCTTATTAGAAAAGAGCGCAAAATTCCGGGTGCACGGAAAATCGTCCGGGCAGGTTTCTGTGAGAAAGAAGTTGAAACGCGAGTGGGCGCATTGCCGGGAGGGAGTAATCGCATCTTCCAACAAGTTACAAACTCCGACAGTGCTAAGTTTAATTAAAACCTACGAGGCGGGCTCGCGGCGACCACTCGCCGAATTTCTTTCCGCGACGAGGGAGAAAACCCTCCTCCACGACGGTGGAGCGGGTGGGCTGTAACCCCGACTATCGGGAAGTCATCGGTTCAACAAGTGGGGCCGCCGTTAAAGCGCTTAATACGCCGCATCGAGACGATATGTACTTGCGCGAAATCAGTTTCGCTACATGTTGCGGCGGTAGTAGCGCACACCGGCTTTGATCAATCTTCCTCTCGTCGTCGGGAATCGCTGTTTAGCGGGCAGCGTAAAGATGCACATTGGACTCGACACGTCGCAACATTAACGTCGTTATCAATCGTAACGAAGGGGCGGGGAGAGGTAGCTGATTTTTTTCTCGCGGAAACGAAGCTGCGGCTTCGCCACCGGCGAGGCTCTTCCTCGCTCCGGAGCCTCGCTTAATTACGCCCGCGTGCCCGAGGTCGTTGATTTTTCGTTAATTCGCGATAAATATCCTAACGCGCGCGTTTCACCGAGTCAACGTGCCGTGTTTGCGGCATTGTCGAGCGTCTGCGGCGAGAAATCGAAGGAACTATAACGTGTCAATATACCGGACGTAGTCTTCTGGAACGTACATCCCCATGGAAATAGGGTCGGCAATGTGCCCGGAAGCCATTGTCGGAAAAAAACAATAGCTGCAACGATGGATCGGCCTTTTTTCTGCATCTATTCAAGCTCTCGCGATTCGAATTCTTTTCAGAGAAAGGGCAAAGGTGGGGGGGATCGAATAAATTCTATCCTCTCTACGCCGCGCTAATATTCCGATCACGATACATCGCTCGCGATAAATCTATTCCGCGTTCTCCGTGCGATTCCGCGATTGCGATTCGAATTGCCGATGCACTGGGAGGAGTGTGAGAGACCGACTTTGTGAAGAACGCGGGAGAGACTCGAGCCGTATGTTCATCGTGGTAAGCGTGCTTTAACTCCTTCGCTGTCAGTATAAATTACAAAATGCCCAGCATTAACTAATAGATCCATTGTGAAATATGTCTGTACAAGGGGTTTTTGAAGTCGCCGAATAAGAAATTGCTCTTTAAAATTGATAAGTTCAAAGTAGCTCGTCCAATATGACAGACAACAGGATAAAAATATGGTAGAACAAAAGTTATCTCTTTCCTTTACTAAATTTTAATTCATATGAGCTTTTTAAGACGTTGGTGATCGTGAGTCTGACCTGTAAACGACTAAATTGAAAATAGCGGATCCAACATGGCGGACTAAAGTATGCAAATATTCGACAAATATATTTGAGCAGTGTTGTTATCGGCACAAGAGGAAAAGGGACGAGGGAGGAAGAAAAAACGTAACATTTAAGCTCGGATAATAATTCTCAAAATTCATTAAAAATAATGAATCAAATATAAACATTTTATCTCAATAAAACATGCTAATAAAGTGCAATTGTGACGACTTTATTAGTTTTTTAAGTAGCAAATATGTGAAATAATGTAAATCTACTGACATGTGTAGGCATTTAACTCGGGAAAAGTTTTTATAATTGAACGTTAATAAGTCATTAGTGGCACACATATGTGTCCATCGACAGTCCTGGAGGTCAGCGCTGTTCTGGCGGTGAATCACGCGGCGATTCGCGACGATACCACGCGGAAGGAAACGCGAGAGCCGTTGGTCACGGTGTTCGTAAAACTTCAGCGATGAACCATAGGGGGACTCGCGACTATGACGATAGATAAGAATGCATCGCATTCTTTCGTCGCGCGCGCGAGAAACATCATTAGCCATTTCGCGGGCAACTTCGTCCGAAGAGTCTCCCCCTTTCGGCGAGGCGAGCTTGTCGGCATTTCCCCGGCTAGGTGAGCGAAGAGAACGAGAAGTAGGTAGAACGTGAAGAGACTACGAAAGTTCGGTTGCCGCGTCGTCATCGGAGCGGCGCCTCTACACCGGGCTGATAGATGAAAATGGATGGTCATATACAGAGAGATGCTTGGTGATAGTGGCTGCTGCGGCGGTTGTGGTATATGTATATATATGTATATATACATATATATATATTTTTTTTTCATAGCTGGCGGTAGTGCAGTTAAATGCAGTGCTGTAAGGTGCAGGCACGCGCGCATATAGGTGGTGCAGTAGTAGTAGTAGTGGTAGTAGTAGAGTTAGTAGAGTTAGTAGTAGTAGTAGTAGGTAGTAGTAGATAAGGTAGTAGTCCATTACAGGCGGACACAGGTTAATGGTAAAATAGTTACCCGGGCCTTGCCGCTGCCAGAGTGATCTCCGCTCGCGGAGGAGGAAGGACTCACCCGGTATCCACCGAGGTTGTTCACCACGCAGGTGAAGGTAGCGTCTCGACCCTGAGGGATCGTTACGTTCTCCAGCGGGTAAACGAAGTCTGGCTCTAGCCCCGTCACTGAAACAACCAAGACAACAGGGTTGCGCATCAATAGGCTGCGATTCCGTTCGGGCCGTGTTTCCGCCTCGCTTTGAGTTTCCGAGCTCTCGGTGCGGTGATAGCGGGTAGCGGTTGTGGCGGTGCTGGTGTTAAGGCGGTCAAAGTTTCACGGTGTATCGTATTTTTGGCGAGGGGATCGCGGAAAGAGAGCGAGAAAGAGAGAGAGAGAGAGAGAGAGAGAGAGAGAGATCTTGTAATCGTATTCGCGAAGCTTCCTCGTTCTCGTCTTAGATCCGACGCTCGATCGAAATATCGCGCGAAAATCCGTGGTTCCCGACGGGAATTCCGCATATCGTCTAGAGTCGCAATAGTTTCGCAAAAATATCCCGCGGCTTTTACCACGCTGCGCCACGGACACGCGGGATATTTTACGTCGCGTTATATATTCATGGAAAAAAACGGGCCTTTGTGGAGAAAGTTTGGCGTTATGGAGCGTCCATACGGCTATCTCATAACAGAAACCATCGTGCACCGAGCGCGAATGCTTAAGTACCGGCGGATTTTTCTTCCTTTTTCTGTGCTCTTTGTTTTTCCACGCCGCGCAGACCGCTTAAAAGTGACAAACGAGTCGGCCCGGTGGAATTTACGGGGTAATCCCGCGACCCGACGCGCGTTTCCGATGTGCGTTTCCCGAATCTTCGAGGGAAAATCGGTTGCGTCGGCATCGTAACGTAACCGGAAGCCGCGGAGTGGTATTAATACACCACGAGGCCAAGTCGAGCAAATCGTGTTTCGCCGAACGCAATTGTGCCGAATTACCGTTGGCACACGCGACATTGACACTAAATTAATTTGCGTAATGGAAATAATTCGTTAATGGGCAACCGCCCGTCCTGTACACCGCGCAGATTGTAACGAAGCGAGCCGATAGCACTTATCCGGTTTACGGTGTGAAAGTAATCAGCGCGGAATTAACACCTGTCGCACGTAAAATAGTTCGTAGGGCGGCGAGTTTTATTTCGGCCCCGATATTTCGCCTCCCTGTAAACGATACGGCGAAATTGCCGGGCGACCGCGGCCTGTCCCGTATAAAATAGTGCGCTATTTTTCGAAATATCTCTCGCATGCAAGTGCTATAATATTTTTATGACGAGTTCGCGAGACTGATAATCCCACGGCGTAAAAACATTACTTTATTATTCTCACCGAAAAGCCGTACACGTCGTGTTTTACCGCTCCGCCGTCGCTCTCCGCCGTTTAACGTCGAATATCAATTATGCGCCCAGACGTTTGATTTAATACATACGTGCAAATTGCGCGCATTCATAATCGATACGGATTTCACGATTCGTCGTCGCTTCCCGCGCTCGCTCGCTCGCCTCTCCGATAATAGGCACCGCGCATGACGAATCGCGCAAACGGTATGTTTTATTCAGTCCCATAAAAGAGAACGTAACAACGATCACATCCCGCGCGGTAAGATCCGGGAATTTCGAAACGGCGACAATACGGGAGGGCAATACAGGAAATTGGTAAGCTACGTGATGGAAATTCTATCGACTATATTTTTTCTCGCGGTCGTGAGTGTGGAGGTGGGGGGGGGGGGGGGG